AACATGAGTGCACGTGCATTGCATCATTGAACTTCTGTAATTTCTAGTCAGACACTGCTGAAAGGTCAATAAAATAAAAATGCTAAATTTTTATATACATAAAATGTAATGAGATTTAAGCTATTTAGACTAAACATTTGTGGTTTCATATTATAATTTGTAGTAATTTTAGAACGAAAAAAGGGTAATTTATATCTATTTTCTATATTTTTATGGTGGGTACGAAGTTGGTCGAATCCACCAAATCCATACAGAGATAAAATAATGAAAATAACTGATAAAATATAAAGTTTTTCTAAAAAAGACGCTTGATAATTATATGAAGGGTATTAGAAGGTTATGATGATTGTCAACATTCGAATATAAAAAATGCACGAGCAAATAATTAATCAAAAAATGTAAAAACGTAATTTAAAATTCTGATACTTTGAATAGGAATGTCTTGTAATGGGCCCAACGTGGCCAGTTGGTTAGGGCGATTGATTCGTTATCTGAAGGTCGCGCGTTCGAATCCCCATCCCACTAAATATGCTCGCCCTTTCAGCCATGGGGGTGTTACAATGTGACGGTTAATCCCACTATTCATTGGTAAAGAATAGCCCAAGAGTTGGTGGAAGGTAGTGATGACTAGCTACCTTCCCTCTAGTCTTTCACTATTAAATTACTGATAATCTGCAAAATTTGGGGAAGAAACATACACATTTTAAAAAGTTAAAGTATAACTGCTTTATGGCTACTTTCGGGAATACGGGCTGTGTGGAATCCACCCACCCGTATTAGAAGAGCTAGAGGGACTTAATCACTTAATTATGACCAAACATTTAGAAATTTTATTAAAGTTAAGACTTCTATAGAATCTTAAAGCTTCCTGTTTAACATAGAAAATTAGTACAATATAAAAAATAACTGACTGAGTTAAGTTAGTCAATGAATTAATCAGTTCAGTTTGTTCGTCTATGATTCAGTTGGTAAGCTAGTCATTGAGCATGTTTGTTATCAACCAATAAGTGAGGAAATTGTTCAAGTACATTTTAAAGTAAGTTAAGCATAGGTACCATTTGTTTCGTAATTTCTGTTTTAACGTTGTTTGTGAAGTTAGGCCTACCAATGGATGTAGCGTGTATAAAGATTTGAATAAATAATTGAAATTATTATTGTTCAAAAGATAGAACAAGTTAGAGCAATATTAATAGTAATGTTACGACCGCGGAAGTCACGTGACTCTGGTAACACGTCATGAGACTCTCGAAGGATCTTGACTTTTCCTGGCAACTCTAGTCTTTTCTAGGCGCCCTCTTTTTTTGTATATAAGCCCGGCAAATAATTGCAGATTGAGAGATATAGAGACAGATAATTGAGTCAAGCGAGCAGCAGTGACCGTAAGTAAAGTGTGTGAATCATTGTGAATTATAGCGTGTGTTTAAGTTAAAATGACTGTGGAAATTCTGTGTATTGCAAAGTTGTATTGAGAAAGAATAAACTAGTTTTATTTAAGAAAGGAATTGTATTGCTGAAGTTCCTTGGGAAAGATTTATACCGGAAATTAACAAACGACCAAATACACAACAGTAAGAATGTCAAACTTGTTCTATAGTTGGGCGGGTGCTTTTGGGTATTAGATAAAATAATGCAAAGTTCAGTCTACATAACGATAATGAATCGATTTATTTTTCAGTGACGTTTGTTACAGGCTACGTTCACTGATAAGTTTAACTTCACAACCAATGTTTCAACAGAAACTCTAATCTAACGAATTTGAGATCTTTTTTAAATAGACTTAATGTCGTTTGTCTGTTCATTAGTGTCTTTGGCTTTTCTTGACGCACATGGTTATTTAGGATAGCTTTGTCACATAAATTATGTAATGAGGGTAATTTTTTATAATAAATTAAGTTAAAAAAGCAACTACTCATGTTGAAAATAGTGAGTGACATAACATCCTACTAAGGATAGTAATGTGGTGTGTTGATGGCATGTTCTCCATGGTTACTTAGTACCAATTGTTGGTCGACTTGTTATGACAATGCTGCTAATCTGGACAGAAAAAAAATGCAAAGATAAAAAATTGAAATTAAACATACATCCACAAGTGCTAATGATTATTGATGCTGAAAACCATTGAACAAAATCGAAATCCTTGTATATTATGGGAATCACGCATGCGCAGCACGCCTTTTTGTCAAACCAGAGGGTGTTGTTGTATCCTGTGCACCCATAGTTCCCGCGTCCTTGCTAACGATTATGCTTGTAAAATTTCAACACTTTTTATATATTTATTGCTGTTCCACAAACAGAAGATGAGTCATAGGTTTTTAAGGTACCCCATTAGGTTCATAATGTGACTCGTGTTTTCACTTGTTGTACGTACTGAGTCGTAATCTCTAGTCTGAATGAAATTATATTACTTGCAGTGTTGCTAAATACGCTTAGAATAAGTAAAATTGAGCTTGTTTTTTTAAGTCGCTTTATTTTTTTTTTTAGAGTTTCGGGTTGCGTTTTTTGGGGGGGTGTATTATTTTCAGATCGTTTATTTGGGCTTTTTTGTTAAAGCTGACTTCAACACGCACTACAATCATTGTAGGAGTGGTTTATGTGATTAACTGGGTCAAAGAATAATCTAAACATCGTTACAATTTTAGAATCATCCTATCCTCACTCCTTTTCAATTAAAAACAAACCTAGAATCATGAACTTTCTGGCCCACCCACTTGATACATTTTATATTCCAATTAAGCCTTACAAATCGCCATTTTGAGGATAGGCCGCTTGTTTTGAGCTAGCTTTGAATGGCACTGCCGCTTGTTTTGGGCTAGCTTTGAATGACACTGCCGTTTACTTTTCTCGCGAGACTTGGCAGCATTACTCATGACTCAATGACCTAGTAACTTTTAACCTTGGGCATGTATATTGTTCACCATCAATTTCCTTACTGCATTAGAAATGTGACGCGCGGAAAAGACATGGAAAAAAAGATTTAATATAAGTACGATTTAGTTAACTTTATTACAATCAAAATTTGATATTTAGTTTCATCGTGTGTGTAATTTTTCATTCGCTTAAAATGTAAAGTTCAGGTGAATGAGCGTTAGTCGGGAAGCAACAAAAACGTTTGCGCGTCTTACTTTGAATGGTTATTTACATGCTATTTTAAACTGTCAAGTAAATCCACACAGTCACTCTTAAAGCCTTGATGTCCTGCTTGGAGATCCTTATGTCAAAATTTTTGAAATGTGAATTTAGAATGTTATAAACTTAGAGTGTTGTTTTGAAAGACTCCTTGGTCGTTAATTGCCGATACAAATTTTCAAGTACATTGAATTACAATGTTACGTCAAACCAGAGATCCCAAACAATTTCTAGGCACTTTCGTTTCTGAGACTTTTTACGACCCTTTCAAGAACCTGTATACTGTTACGTCTCCGTTCGTTAATTAATTTTCCGTAAATTCGTTCCAACGAAACTTTATCGACACAAGTCTTTTCTTAAATAAAACTGGTTTATTCTTTCTGAATATAACTTTGCGATACACTTAATTTCAACAGTCGCGCTATAACAAACGCTATAATTCTCAACAAACGTCTCACGTGCTCGACTTCAACAATACTCAGTTCAATTACACACTCTCTGACTACAGTTCAATTACTCATTGCTCCTTCACGCAGTGGCTGTCTTATATATACCACGCTACCCCCAATCTAGTAGTCTCCCGACAATTCACGAAGGTTCGAGTAGGACGTGGCGTGATACTAGTCACGTGACCTCGCTGACGCAACAATACAAAATTTGAAATGACAGCTTCGTATGAGAATGAATTACATTATACCATTTTATTCCACGTGCTGGAGTAATCTAGTCGTGTAACAAAAAACAGTTCAGGTCTTACATATATCCAAAGATTTGCTTATTACCAAGCGTTCTTGAATTAAAAAATAAAATATTTTGTTACCCAGTATGTAAATTGTATTAATGTAGTAACAAACTTTTTTAAAATCTATTTTTAGGTGCTTTAAGTATCAGCATGGTGGATTGTGCCTATTCCTGGAAAAACGTAATATCCCTCGAGGTAATAAAATATCACCTTAAAGTGCATCCAAAGCGTCAAAAATTTTTCCTTGACCTTTATCTGACGAAAAATATATAGACATAAATATTCTAGTGAACCAGATAAAGTTCGGGTAAGATGTGAACCTGATTTAAACATTTTCACAGAACTCAAGTTGTGAGACAGAAACAAATCTTGAAGCAATGTCTAATTGGAAACAAAGTTCTACAGCTAATGGAAGCTATACATTATCTAGAGAAAATAACCATTCAACACATAAAGATATTAAGAGAAAAAGGTCTTTAGAACTGACTTTCGATACTACATCTGGTTTCGCAACAGAAATTGGGAAGATTAGTAGTCAAGATGGTTCAATCAAATGGTCTCATATCAAGAATAAGTTTGAACTAGGACATGCTTCTTCAAAATCAACAAATTTTGGAGTCTTTAAAGAAGTGGATAATCTTTCTATGAGCCAACCTCGTCGTGAAAGTTCAGAAAATTCTTTGAGGGCCTCAGAAAATCTCGAAAAGAGTTCTCAAAATGGCAATAAAAAATTTGAAAGTTCTAACATAACACTTAATAAAAACTTTTACAATAAAGAAACATCTAAAAAGTTAAGCAAAACAGATAACTGTAATTTTCTTCAGTTATTCGACAAACAATTGTATAAAGATACTGCGTCATATAGTAACCATGTCTATCATCCCACCGAGATTCGAGGACCTGGCAGCAACTCGATTTCAAGGTCAGATAATAAGAAGGATTCTAATAAAACAGCACAAGCTTCTTGTAAGCCATTCAGTAATTCTTCCACTACTAATCATTGTAAATTGTACTCTTCCAGAAAAGTCTATGATAATTTAAAAGCCAACAAAACTGCACAAATTTTATATCCAAATGTACGAAACTCCCTCGTCTGTAATGATAGAACTGATATTACTAGCAATAATAGGATTCTTGAAACAGGTTTTTCATCACTTACAGAAAGTACTGCTGGACATGCCAAAACAGAGGTAATAAAGAATTCTATAAACTATTATAAAAAAGACTATTGGGATAACTGTAGAATATCAAAATTTTCCACCATGCCTGTTTCACGAACATTTAATATTTCAGAAAAATCTAAAGTTTCCCAATTAAAAGAAAAGTTTGACCATCAATCTGAGAAGTTTCATAATGATAAAAAGACAGGCACTGAACTGAGCAATAACACAGTTTTGAAACGAGATAAAACAGCATGTGGAAACCACAAAAACAGTACCAGACCAAATTCATCGCCATTATTTGAAAGAACTTCAAAACACTCTGAAATATCAACCAATAAACACGTATTTAGATGTTCCGGAGATCCATGTGCACTTGAAACTGATAAACAATTAGCTACTAGTATTCCGAAGCCTCAGACATCATTAGTGAAACAATTCATTAAAATCTTTGAACAATATCTTGATATATCTCCTGAAAGTTTAGAAAGATCAAAACAAGAGTGTTCAGATGTGCACAGTACATCAGTAAAATTCACAGAAGAGTATGCTTTTCAAAATTTTACGTGGAGTAGCAAACCAGAAAATAGAAATTTAAGAAATTTTCAAAACTCCAATGCATCTGTATGTGATAATTCTAAAAATGAAAGAATAAATACACAACCCCCAAGCACTAGGAAGGAAATGAATTTTGAAAAATGCCAAGAAAGACCTAGTAGACCAAAAAGCTTAACAGAATCTAATTCCTATGTAAAATCTCAAGTTGCAAATTTTGAACAACTGACTAAAAATCAACTGACAGTTCAAAATAAAGATGGAAATTTGTCAATATATTCTACTCTTAAATTAGATGAAGATGAGAAGTTTATACAATACAGGTATTCTACTGGCAAATTGAATGAATACCTTCATAATCTTGGTTTAAATATAACAGGTAAACCTAGTAATGAGATAAATACTTTTAATGGACAAGAAAATGGCCCAGAAAACAAGTCCGAGGACAGAGCAAATGAAATTTCAAAAAACCAAGACAAAAAAGAAATCGTTGAAATAAAACCAAAAAACCGACAAGTAAAGAGTTTTATACATAGGTGGCCTTTGTTGGACAGTAATCATCCCTATATAAATACAAAGAAGCAGTTGAAATCTGATCTCAACTGCACGGAAGCAGTAAACATTGAGATGATTCCCGAGGAGCAGTCGATTGAAGATTTGAGTGACAGTTATTTTAAGAATGAAGAAGAAAGTTTAAAATCCTTGGAAATCAGTTTAGATTGTCTTTCAGGCTCACCTGGATGTGAAGGACCATACAATGAGTTTTTTGAGTGCAATAGTTTAGGTGAGTGAAGCCATAAAATTAGTTTGTTTTTTCATGTGACTCTATAAAAAGTTTAACAACAAAATTATACATATTCAGTTTAAAAAAAAAGAATGAAAATCTCCAAGTATAATCTGATATAACTTTTTCATCATAACTAGCTGGCAATTATTTGGTATTTCAAGCTGTCTTTTAAGTTGAAATACAGATGATAAAAAAAAGTAGAACTTTTGCTGTTGTGTGCACAAAATATCACTGAAACTAGTATTCTGATCGTACACTTATAACAAGCAAGTTATTAGAAGTTTAAAATTATTGCACAGGAAAACTAAAACCAGTAATGATTAGAATGCACTAAATCATCAGTTGAGCCTTGCTATTATCAAAGATACCTGTGGTTATAAACCCAATAAAATCTTGGAAGGTTCAGCCAGAACCGGTCCTAGAGTATAGGGGGCCCAGGTGCAATAAATAATGGTGCTCCCCCAACCGTTACAATGTACATGAATATATATATATGCATGAGAGAGAGGGAGATTAGAGACAAATATATAACCATATATGGTGCATTTGAAACTCAATTTAAGTAATGACCTCCCCAGTTATCTTGACTGCACCCTCTAAGAGCCGGCCCTGGGTTCAGCCAACTTGGGAGGTTTAGATTTGTCCTGAGTCCATATATAATTGCGATTAGTGTAATAATTTAAAATAGTAACGATATTCAAAACTAGTTTGAATATTATAAACTTTAATATTAATTAAATTAAATTTTAAGGAAAATTAGAATATGTCATCACTTAGAAAACACATAAAAATCAGTTGTTTGTTTCTGTTGTCTGACATTGATACCCTAGAAAAGTGTTACAATAATATAAGCAGATCTCTACATCTATATAGTCCTGTCAAACAACAGAAAGTGACAAATGAAAACTGGTTTCTTGCCCCGCAAAGCGCTATTTTAATTACAAATGGAATTTTTAACATGAACAGTATTGAGCTAATCCCAGGTCAGAGATCCCTGCGATTAAAATATAGTTGCTCCCGAATTTTGGACTGTTGACCAAAGTGAGGAAACCAGCAGCACCCGCCGCTCAGTATCTTTGTCTGACTCTTTGAACAAAAGGATGGGTGTGACTGTAGTTCCTATAACACACCCACAGCTAAAAGTGCACAGTGTCATCACGTCTTGGGAATTTTGACCTACAGGTCAACACACAACTGAGCCACGCCCATTCCAAATTTACATAAAAGATAAATGATTTCCTGACTGTTTGGTCAAAAATCTGGAGCTGAAAGTAAAGCGGGAAAACTAATGTTTATGTGTACATAAAGATTATTTGTTGTTAAGGGTAAAGCTGAGCAATGAACTATCTGTGCCGTACCCACCCGCAAGGGCTACACTCTACGTTTTAGTGTTACAATTCCTCAAACTTATCGCTGAGCTACCAGAGGACATATATAAAGTGAAAAGATAAATTAGCATCCACTGAATAGAAGATGTTTTTATTAAAGTCAATTTCAATTATACTATATGTTTTACCTTCTGTATCGAATAAAAAGAAAATGCTTTCTGTGTGCTACGTTTTTCTGTTTGTTTATTTTTTCAAAAGGCAACTTCCAATGGTCAGTGCACTCTACAATTAGGGCCTTTTTCAGATTTGTTGGGACTCTAAACGTGAGTACCAAAACATATATTTTCTATATTAAGATGCCGGAAATATAAGCCATCGCCCATTTTTTTTGTTTTCTTTTCCTAATCTATTTCATGTCATGATCAGTACACACTTTGACAGGCAACGCTGTCTGCAGTAGTGTTGTGAAATGGTTTTAAAAGCCGTGACCAATGACTGGTTGAAGAAACCAATCCATTGTGTAAGTGTCCCCTTCTTCAATAAAATCTAAATATTTATTTTAAAATATATAGCGTTTATGATATATTTATTTTGCACACCAAGAACCTTCCTAATAAAAACCAGTGAATTTCAAATACAATATGAAAAAGAATACACATAATCTATGTCACTTTGAAACTGACAAAAATGTAGCATCAGATAAAACTATTAATCCATGTTTAAGTCCACCACTTCTCGTACCTCCCAATGTAGCGTATAAAAAAACTTGAAACCTTTTGAATAAAATATTTCCCTATTACGTACAAGTGGCGGTTTTAGCTCTAGCCGTTTCGATAAAGGAAATTACCTGATAAGGATGAAGTTTAAAATGTAAAATTTACGGTATAAAGCAGATTTGATGATTGTTAACAAAATATATTTTAGAAGTGCTAAAAATAACAAAACCGGGCCGTGAAAACACACGTCATATGTGTTTCCCAATCGTTATAAGTACATATTCTTTTCGGCAATCGGCCGTCTTCATGTTCATCATCACTCTGGAACAAGACAATCGTTTATTTTATAAAATTTACACTATAAACCATGTAAAAACTATTCTTAAATAATTGTGTGAAATCGATTAATAAAACTAAAAAGGTGAAAATCGTAAAATTAATAAACAGTGCATAGAACCAGTTAATGTAATATATGCATATATATATATTTAGTACGTTAAAAAATGGTAGATTTGATTTTGTAACGAGTACTGTTTACACATTACAGATACGTATCATAATTTGCTTAGCAATAAATTAAAATCCCATGAGCTTGAGTTGTAAGTGCTTTACTATTTTTCTGATGTGGTTATATAATATTTCCATATAATTTCCAGCTGTTTTAATTTTCCACTTTTTTATTTCGTGCTTGCGTACTCACCTCTACTCTAGTCAGCACTGAAGATGGTTTCTCTGATGTCAGTGATTCAGAAAGTTGTGATTATAGTAGTAACAAAGACACTTGGCTGAGGTGAGTAGGTAGACTTACTGCTCTTTGGGGCCTGTGTAGGACGGGAGATTAGTTCCGTGAAAGATGAAGTTGTTGGATTATCAATTTAATAAGTTTTTATTTGTTTTAGAGATAGTACAAATACATTTGAAATAAAACGTGCATAAGAATCGACAAAAATAATTTGTTGTATTTATGTTAATTGCTAGCTTCATTAATATTTGATAATTAACGGATAAAAATATTCACAATAGATTAGATAAATAATAGATATTTTATAAATTATAGCATTTGTGAAACTTGCAAGCCGCAGTTAGTGTAATTTGAAAATCCAACTTGAATGACCCTGAGATAATTACTGTTATGTTTATTAGAAACTAATTAAAAATAACTGTATTTAGAATAATCTGCATAATAGTATTAATAGCATTGTATCATTAGATTTAGAATGTATTCTATAATTATGAATACTTTATAAACTAGAAATTAGAATTTTCAGCCTGACTAGAACCATATATGTGCATGGGCCAGGCCAGAGACTCCTAGGATTTAGGTTTAGTCATTTTTTTTCAGCTAACAACTAAAGGAAATGCAGCCAGTGAGTAGTTACCATAAGTTCTAGAAACTGAATAATGGAATTGACAGTTGCTTTTATAACATGCCCATTGCTGAAAGTGCTGGGCATTTGAGTGGTGTTGTATCTTGCACCCTGGACTTTTTAGTACACATCCTGGTATGCTACCTACAAGCCCATATGTAGCCCATGATGGTTAGTTTAGAACTAATTCACAAAGACATGCAAATTAACTATCAATCATTATTACACAAACTGCCCAAATTCAGTTCACATGCATACATGATTCAACCATACTTAAAAATTATACATTTTAAGACTGACACACAGCTTCTCTTAAGATAATTCTGCTTTCAAAGCATCTATAAACAGATAACATTCTCAAAGATACACATAAAACAAATTGTTTGCCAACTTTTAAACTTGCAGGGATACTATACCTTCCCGGTGTCTAGTAATCTAAATCCTTTGATGATTAACAGTACTTGAACTGAAGTGAGAAGCTGATAAAACTTTATGGCACATATCTTTTCTTTCTCACCCATAGGGATGTTTTCTGAATGCCATTTATGGAAAGCATGTGCACATTATGTCATGAATAGATAAAATATCTGGACATAAAGTAAACACTTGAACCCAGTGCTTTTAAACTTTGGTTCTTTCATTATCAGCGAGTGACAATGAGTAAACTGCTTTTCAAAACGTACGAGTGAAATGGCTAATTTGTTAGTGTTCTTGGTGATAAAAAGAGTACCTTCTTCTAGAGGCAGTGTGGTACTTAAAGGATGTGAAATTGTTAGCAAATCATATAAATAGAACAATAAAAAAAATTAGTAAATTCTGCCCCCCTCCCCCACAATAGTGAGTAGCTAGAAATAGAAAGTAGCCAAACTCACATCTTGGTGTTATCAGAATGTAGGTACACCATATAAATATTTTTTGAAGCAATGACTTAAGAATCCCTTAAAAGCAAATAGCTTTAAACATTGAATTTCATTCATTTTGTTAGATCAAGAGAGAGTGTAATGTATGTCATATATTGTTATATGTTATATACAATTTATAATTATATGTAAAGTAATATTATTTATATAATATATTTATTTCCCAGTTTGCCCCTGAAGAAGAAAGGTCCATCTTTTGAAAGCACTTGGGTTATAGAGTTTTTATTCATTTCTATCAAGACTTCTTGAACCTATGTGTTTTTCTACTATCATCAATAATACTATTTATATTACTACACATCACATTATTTACAGAAATTCCATACATTTGCTTTTGGCTTATAGAATTATCATATGAATTAACTTGAGAACTGTCTACCTTAATCATTTGGTAATACAGAGGATGGACAAGACATTGTGATTAAAATTGAATAAAGCTTTATTCTTTTGATAATTAAATATTTATTAGAAATAATAATATTTTGATAGAAGATATTTTGATTTGTATCCATCAGAATCTAGCTTTCTCATTAAAGTTTAAAAATATAATCTGCATTGCATATTAACATAAGTTTACAAATAGGTTGTAATAAGACTTTGTCAGTAATGGATCTGTGGGAGTTGGGAGAGGAGAGATACTTGCATCTTAAACATCCATCATGACATAAGTAAAGTTATGTTAATGTTACTATCTTAAAAAGTTGTAATTTTTTTTTTTATTAACAGATTGGCTTATAAACACTAAAGAACCGGAAGTCGTCTGAGAAACAAAGTAATTGTGTTGTACTAGTAGTTAACTAAGCCAAGCCTGTGTAATAATTGTCTAGATACATCCTCTATCAAACTATAAATGAACAGGTATATGCATTTAAGGTTTTGAATAAAAATCATGAACTGCACATATGCACAGGTGTTCGTTTCTGTTTAACGGGAGGTCCAAATATTGTCTTGTATGTTGTTTTAATATTTTCCTATTAGTGTTAAAATAGTGTGTGTGTGTGTGTGTTATCGTCG